TAATAGCCAAACAGAGAACAACTGTCCATTGATGGATGAATGGATAAACAAAATGTGGTATATGCACGCAATGGAATATTATTTGACATTAAAAAGGAAGAAGATTCTGCCACATGACAATGAGTAAACCTTAAGGACATCCTGCTAAGTGAAATAAGCCAAACACAAAAGGACAAATACTGAATGATCCATTTAAATGTGACATCCCGGGTCCTCCCTGGTGGTACAGCGGGTTGGAGCGCTGCACTGCGAAGCTAAGCCAAGCTGTGGCCACTTCAGTGTGAGTTCGATCTCCGCCCCAGAGATGGCCCACATGGCGCAGCAGACCTCTCCCATCTTGCCCACTGCTCCCCTCAGCAGTGTACTTTGTTGAGCTGCCTGTTCTGCTCCCCATTCTGCCTCTGGTGAATCCTCTCACAGCCCCTGCTGGCTGTACCTCATCTCTGTATGCATAGATAAATAAATCTTTTTTTAAAAATGTGATCTCCCTAAATTGTCAAATTCCAAGACAGAAGTTAGAATGATGGCTGCCGGGATGGAGGAGGGAGAAGTGGGGAGGTCGTGTTCAGCGTTAAGGGTGAGTTTGGAACGATGCAGAAGTTCTGAAGGTGGATGGTGATGGTTGCACAAAAATGTGAATGTACTTTATGCCCCTGAACTGTATATTTTTTTAGCCCTTTTTAAGGGTTTAAATGATAAATTTCACACTAGGTATATTTTACCCAACATAAAGTCCATCCACAAAAGGACAGAAGTTTCAGCTAACCTGGATAAATTAGCAGGATTTTAAAAGTGTGGTCACAGCCAGAAATGCATACCCTTCCCCTTCTTTTCTCCTCAAGGGATAAAAGTGGGTGAACAAGGTCAGGCAGCAGGAGGGGCAGAAGGGTCACACCAGGCAACACAATGACCTCCATTTCCTCCTGTGCCCACTGTCACCAGCACTAGGCTATGAGACATGGGAGAGAAGACAGGCGGCAGGGACCTGCCTGTAAATGACACCTGATTGTCACCAACTCCTGGAAACCAGAGGTTTCCCAGATGGTTTCTTTCCAACTGCACATTTATAGATTGTGCTTCCTGGAACTAAGTAGGAATTCCTTATATTCCAGACATAAATTTTGGGGAAACACACCCTCTGGTAATGCCCCTTTCCATAGCCTGTGCATTTAAGATGTTGGTACACAGTTCAAATGCACTTCAGTAATACCCTGCATCTTGGGCTTCTGAAAACCAAGCATTTACACTTTGGTACAGGTTCATCCAAGTCAAAAAAGGTTGCACTCAATCCCTGAGTTACTGCAATCATTACCTTCTGCTCTATAGTCTTCAGTCTCCAGTGCAGGGGACACAGCTGCTGCCCAGTCTGGTGAATGCTGGCGTCACCCAGCTTCCACTCACCTGACTCCTGCCCACAGTGACAGTCAAGAATCTTTCAGCTGGTAAAGGAATTCAAGAGACGTCCTCACTTTCCTCCTCCTCAACCTCATTACTTTCCTTTGTAACTCATTTAGGCCTCTGTTTGTTGTTGCATTTTTTTAAATATCTATGACTTTCTGCTCTGAAGTTAACATCCTAGAGCCAAGACAGGGAGCAGGGCAGCCTGCAAGCAAACCTCCCTGGAAACGAGGTGGGTGGGGAGGACCTTCCTGGACATCTCCTGTGAAAGCGCAGGAGGTCGATGTCCGGGAGGAGCACCTGGGTGCTTGGGTGGGCCTACAACCTGAAAACATGCTTTTGTATGAAAACATGAACACTCCTCCTAGCATTCCATTCAGTTCTGAGCAAGGCTTCTGTGAGGAAGAGTGGGACCTGTGTTTGCGTGGGAGGCTGAATGACCAGGGCTACAGAAGGAAGCCGTGTTGCAGCTCTCCATATTCCCCCCAGACTCTGCATCTTCTCCAAATAAATATCAAACAGTAATTTAAAGACAATTTATTCTCAGAGACCTGTTATCTACCTGCCAGAGGTGTCTGGCTGGGACAGCCGGCATGCCTCTCATTTTCCCAGTTTAGGGATAAGGATGGTTTAAGACCCACTCCCTCTAAGATGCCTCCTCCTTGGTTTGCCTTGCCACAGAAGTCATGCTTAGGTCTTCTTTACACACCCCTGTTGGGCATCCCCAATAGCAAGCGCCTCGCAGTAGAGGCTGTGTCTCAGATTTCTTTCCACAAGTGCTCACAATTGCTCCGAGTACCATGACACTCATTTGGGCTCTGCAGCAAAGGGCATTTGCCAAAGATGGCCACACAAAGGCCTCCCACCTCAGCCATCTTGTTACAGTGCGAAGACGCTCCTTCCACTAGAATGGCTCCCTCCCTCTGAAATAAGTGGGGGCTTCTGATGGCTCACCCAAAAGGGCACAGAGTGATAATGGGTGACGTGGCAAGCTGGATCACAGGAGAGAGACAGCTTCCACCTGGCTCTCTCCTTCCTGGACACTTCTTAGAGAAAACTAGCCAACTAGCCATGGTGCTATGAAGTTCAACTAGCCCATGGCTGCCACAGGAGGTCCAGGTGGAGGGAAGCAAAGACCCCAGACGGCCAGCAGCACCCACCAGATGCACAGTGAAGGAGCAACTCTCCCAGCCCCGAGTCTCCAGCACAAGCCCCCAACTCAGTGAAGCAGAGGCAAGCCATTCACTGCCCTTTCCAAACCTTGGCCCACAGATGTGTGAGCATGATAAATGGTAGCTTGGTGACGTTAGACAGCCATCGGAGCTGGGACAGGTGCCACAAACTCAGCCACAGGACGAGCAATTCCAAAGCCCCACCCTCTCAAAAACTGAATTTTGCTGTCTGCCCCCAACGACCTCCTTTCCATCAACACAAAACAGCCCCTATCCCACAGGGCCATGGCGTGGGTGTCTACTTCCCTACTCAGCCTCACCACTACTGTCCACTGACCACACTTCTTCAGTGAGACTGGCTGCTCCAGGAAAAGGAGAAACAGAAGGAAATTTCATTTCTAATCTGCACTAAGTGCTTCCTTCCAAAGGACACCACAGCCTCTTCCACAGGAAAGACAGGCACAGCTCCTCATCGCCCAGTCAAGAGTTAGAGCACGTTAGCCCTTCCCAAATGAAGACTGTGACCAGCCCAGAGAAGTGTCCATCACCCCAGTGTGCTGCCAGTGACAGCAAGAATATTGCCAGGCAGCTGCTATGGTCCAGGTGGGAGCAGACTTGGGCCACGCGTGAGCCAGGGGGAATCCAGCCAGGACTTCCCTCAGGTCTGCCCTGCTCCCATTTTACCTGGCTCCTCGATTCAAGAAGGTTGATTTTGGGGCAAATGTCCCTGCCTTCCCCTGAGAAAGTATTAAAAATAAAGTTTTCTCGGCCCTCCCTGGTGGCACAGTGGGTTAAAGCACAGCATTAAGAAGCTTAAGCCACTTCTGCATGAGTTCGATCCCCGCCTGCCCCGGAGGAGAGCCACATGTCGAGGCAGACCTCTCCTGGCCCGCCCGCTGCTCCCCTCAGCAGTGTACTTCATCTATCTGCCTGTTCTGCTCCCTGCTCTGTCCCTGGTGAATCCTCTCACCCTCCGCATCTCTGGGCTGTACCCCAGCTCTATATGTATGAATAAATAAAAAAATCTTTAAAAAATAAAATAAAATAAAGTTTTCTTAAGCATCATACAGACTAGGTCTCTGAACAAGTTAGGGCAGAGAACCACAACTGACATTGGGACAGAGCACACCTGTTCTCCAAGTGAGCCAAACTTTAGTTTTCTGAAGGGATAGGAATCTAACACAGAAACACGGCTTTACCTGGTGTGCAGAACCCAGTATGAGCAAAGTGTGGTCAAAGGAAAAGCACAGAAATGGTCAACTTTCAAGTTCCCTCTCCCTCTTACACACACACACACATGCACCCACGCAGTACACAGTCAGTGTTAGCAACCAGGGTCTACTCACACGCGCTCCCCAAGTACAGAGCGGCTGTGCACACCATTGGTGGCAGCAGCCTGGATGTGCTGACAAGGGAACCCCACCAGACAAGGGAACCCCACCGGACAAGGGAACCCCATCGGACAAGGGAACCCCACCGTCTTGCTGGTGCAAGCACCACACACACAGGACTCCAGCTTCGCTGGAGCCGTTTCCTCCAAGAGCACCCAGAAATTTCCCAACATGAGCACCTTTCTTCCATGTGCTCATTCCCACTTCCTCGGGGAACCCAGAGGGGACCTACTGGCTCCGGTCCACTCCTGCCCTCCCTCTTTTCTAACCTGTGCAGTTCACAGCAGCCTTCCCAGGGTTCAAGGACGGACTTCTTTACTGCCCACTTCACATACACATGTACTTGCTGCAAGCATTTTCAGAAGGCAAATTTTTTTGCGACCACAAGTTGCCTGCTGTGCCCCAGGAAGGTGAGTTTAAGTCTGTCACCAGTGGGTGGCACTTTAAGCACTTCACAATCTGAGCTCGGTCTGCAAGGACAGGAGGGACTTTGCTTATGGCCCCACCATTAGGGCTAGATTTTCGTTTCATTAGTTCAAGTTTTTTATGTGCACAAAGAGAAAAAGGCAGAAATCATGAAGGGAGATAAAAATGGGGCTTTCGGTCATCCTCAGACATGCCTCAAGCAGAAGGGGCGCCCCAGCACGAGGGAGGCAGGGTCCTCACTAACAAGCCCTAGCCCCCACTCCTGTGTGTCCACTCCACCCTCCCACCCCAGGCAAATACCCCCCATGTCTCGCCTCACCTTTGGACAGAGTACATTACCAAGCAATCACTATTGCTTGACCTGTTTGGTGTTTTGGGGGAGGGGGGCAGGAAGAAAGTGCTATTTACAACCACTTGGATGTAAAAACCTTATTCTGCCAAACAGCAATTAACTCAACAATCAAGCAAGTAGGACAAATGAATATAACTGCTGTGACACTGACATCATAAGTAAAGCAGTCATCACAATTAAGCTCCAAAACCTGTAGACAAGCGCTAACCGATCTGTACGGCAAGAAGGATGTGCATCAAAAGTAAAAACGTTTAACTTTACCTGTGGCTATAGCGAATGGCTATCGTCAATCCAAGCTGTAATTAAAAAGAGAAACATATTAAATACTATCAAGAATATGCTGAATTCACAAGAACATTTACTTAATACAGTCCACTACTTTTTGTCCCCTTACCCCACATGCTTCATGAATAACACATGTTAATGACAGATCTTTGGTTTCAACTTAGCTCTTAAAGGATAACTGTATTTTGTGTCCTGGAAGGGTTTTAAAGGGGCTACAATATTTCACTGTGGATTAGGTCAAAGGTGTCTCCCCTCAGAAAAGAATTACAAAGCAGAACTTCTCTGTCTTTCCTTTACCTTCTTTTTTCATTTAAAATTTTTAATTTTAATTTTTTTATTGAAGTAGAACTGACAAATGAACTGTAAACCTCGAAGTGCATGGCATGATGATAGATAGACATATATGTAGTGAAATTAAACCACAAGCAGGGTATTAATGCATGTATCACCTCCCAGAGTTCCCTTCCTTTCCTTTTTTGAGGAGAACATTTAACAATCTGTTTTTGCAGCAAATTTCAACGATACAACAGTATTGTTACAGAGTCGCCATGCTGTAGCTTAGCTCCTCAAGTCACCCATCTAATCACCGGAAGTCTGTACCATTGACAATTTGCAAACATCTCATTTTCCCCAGCCCCTGGCAATCAATCCTTCCACTGTTTTGTGAGCAAAACAGGACTTTCTCAGCCTGAGACAAAGCAGTAAAAGGATCGCGTGTGTGACTGATTCTGAGGTTTGTATTAGGAGCGGACAGCCCTGCCAGGTCCTGGGAGCCACTGGGCTGCCCCCACTCTCAGAGTGCTGAAGTAGACTGGCCACCAAGGCCAGAGCCTCCCTGAGGTCCAGCACAGCTGCCACACTGACCCCATCAGTTCCTAGCCTGCAAGCCCGGCTCTGAGGACAGCAAAGAAATAAAGCTGGAACACATGGGCAAGTGAACGCCACTACCACGAGCACAGTGATGTGGGGGTGCCGGCGTCACTGCCGTTTCCTCTTCAATTCTGCGATGTGTCAGAAAGCTTTTCAAGAGTAAGTGGGGCTCAGCTAGTTCACACAAGGTCAGTGTAGGATTACTGAAGAGGAAGGCCAGCCAAGTGCAACTGCTAACTGTGTGGGCGTCAGCAAGTTATCTAAACTCTCAGACCTTCGGTGTTCGCAACTGTTAAGTGGCCAAAGTATTATTTTCTCACGGGATTAATGTGGGGATGAAGCAATGTTTCTATATTTGTGTTTGTATCTTGGTGTATGTGACCATGCATGTGTGCATACTGTCTGATGGGTAGGAGAAACTTTACAAATAATAACTGCCCCACTGCTACTGTACCGAGGCTATGCCCACTTAGAAAAATATTGTCACATTCCAATAGTTATTTTCATGCTGGTTTTGGAACTTTAAACTATGTTACCATGTAGAAATTGGTGATGAGCCACAACCTGCCAATATAGGTCTCACTAACCCACTGTGACTGAAATGTAGCATTACTTATTGAAGAAACTCATGGCAGCAAAGAATATAAGCATCTTCTGTAACACATCTTAACAGAAAGTTTACTTAAGTTGCACCTTATGATCCCCAAACACCTCACTGTTAGTACCTCCATTAGCTATTGACCCAATGGGACTGGGGGTGAGGATGGGGAGGTGATATTTTTCAGTGCTATACTAGATGATGACAGATGACATGGGGGCCCCTGAGAAGTGGGAGTGGGGAAGAGTCAATGAGAGGGTGAATTAGGAGAAGTAAAGTAGGTAAGATAAGCAGTCGAAGTGCCCAAAAATGGACAAGCAGATCAAAAAGATATGGTGTGTGTGTATGTATGTGTATATATATATATATGTACACACACAACAGAATACTACTCAGTAAGCAAAAAAGATAAACTCACACCACTGGCAGGAACATGGATGGAGCTGGAAGGGATTGTGCTAAGGAAAACAAGCCAGTAGGAGAAAGATAAATATTGGAGGGTGTCACTTATATGTGGAATATAAAACACACACACACAAAAAGTCAGACAAAGCCAAATACTAACCTGTGAAAGCTGACCAGAGACCCACAGCTGATTGGTAGGGGGATACAACACCATGGACTATGGTGGAGAACTATGGGTGCCTTGGTGGTGGGAGAGCTACGGTGACCTATCTTAGGGGGGATCCTATACTGTCAGAACACTAGCAGAGATATGAAACACTGGTACTTTGATGACAACAATCAGAAAGAAAGAAAGAAAGTTCAACGTCTCGATCCAGCTCCACATTCTGTGGAGTCCCGAGCTGGTGTGTGAATAGCTTGGCTCCAGAACAATTTGGCTGAGTATTATCTCTGCAGACACCCAAAATACAAAACCAACAAAGATGAGCCATCAGGAATCCAGGAGAATAGGTCTAATTCTACAAAAAGAATATCTAAAAGTAAAGGCACAAAATATGTAACATCAAATTGATTTCACATCACACTCACCTAATTTATTCAGTTATCTATCTCAACTAACCCAGCAGTGTCATTTCTTTGAGACTTAAGCAAACACAAGAGAAGATGCCTCAAGAACAATCAAGAATCTAAAGGACTAGTCGGAAATTATTTTGGAATGAAATAAAAACAGAAACTGTAGCCAAAAGGTCAGGGTAAGCATTTTAGAGACTTTATATGCCAGGTTACTTTACATTTCCTGGGGTTAAAAAGTTCTGGCTTACAGTTAGGCTAATTATAAGATAATTTTACCCCTTGAATATTTTGATAAGCTTTGGAGTACTGTTTTAATTGGTGGCTTTTCCACAGTTGAAAGATAAACCTTTGCTGGAACAAGGAAAGGAAATGGGTGTGGGAGGGACAAAAATGAGGGAAAAAGCAGAAAAAGTTGTTAAATGACAGCTGTGCTAGTTGAAAGGGCTTAGGAGATAAATCCTCCAGAAAGGTGAATTTCAATTAAGCGTTTTTATTACTCTTTTCCTGGCTTCTGAAACAAGTATGTCTTACCGTCATTTTTAAAAGGACATCGATGGTAAGGAAGCAAGTGTGACTCCTGGCATCACAAAGACCAGCCACAGCACCTGCAGGCCTTTGTGTGAATATGCCTGGCAAAGATGTGCTAGGAAATAAGATGACTGGAGCCCATACAAACGCTGACAGGCTGCCTTGGGAGTGGGAGAGTCAGGGAGAGAGGCTGGGAATGGGGCATTGACAGTCATTTGGGCAGGTGGCTACATCTCCACACAGAATGCACCCTATCCACTAGGTGATGGAACAGTGTAGAAAAGTCTCTGGGCCTTGCCATGAAACCCCAGGTCGGGACAGGCAAATGAGGCCAGTGGATTGTGTAAGGAAGCTCCTTAAGCCTATGCCTCTTTACCCCTGCGGAAGAAGCAGACAGTCCTCTGAGGTTTCTACACCAGACAAAGGTAACTGTATAATCTGCTGGGAGATGAGCCAGAGATGCTTTTCTCCCTTGGCCTTAGAACCTATATCCGTCATCGGGCTTCTCGAGGCCCTTGCTCTGCTAAGAAGCATCAGCCAGGCAGAAATGCTTTAATCAAGTCTCACCACTGGCTGTATGTATACAAGTGCTCACATTCACACCAGACTTACACATGCACATACACGCTAAATGCATGTAAACAGGTCCAGCCCCACACACATGTGCACATGTGTGTGAATAGCACGTGTTTTGTGTGCAGATGTACATGCAACTACCCATAAACACACCATCCAGACATGCACACAAGCACTTACCCATGTACAGAGACTGGCATTCAGGGAGCCCCAATAGAGCCCCTGAGACAAAAGGAGGCCTCAGACAATTGACCCTTTTGTTGCTGATCTCAGCAGGGATTGAGAGGAGAGAGAGAAGGGAGGCCCAGGGTGACTGGCCCCTGACCCGGGCCCAGCCCAGGCTGAGGCCCATGGACAGGGAGGTCAGAGGGAGTTTTGTGCTGCTGTCTTCCCTAGAGAACACCCCCCAGGACATACTGTAAGTATTACCAGAAAGCACTTAACAAGCTCCCATTCGAAGAACTTTTTAGATTTACACAATTTGTTAATAACAAAATTAAATCACATTTTAATGGCAAGGAAGGAGTAATTTAACATTTTTCCAAATCTCCACTAGCTACAAAAACCTTTTTCCTGCTGCTTCAGCCTAAAAATGCTCCTTTTTTGGAACAGTTGACTGAGGCAGCTGTTTTGTATCAAGTCTGAGGGTTTTCTATATGACCCAGGGAGCTCAGACAACAGGCAGACCTTCCTGCATTAAAGGGTAATCTGAGAATAATTTGCCATAAAACACCCAGAAGTGCGCCAGCTGTAGCCGGATACACCCTATAAAGCACCACGTAGACTGCATGGATCTTGTAAAATAATCACCATAATTTTAGAAAACACATTTGTAAAACACATGAAAAAAAGTTTAAAGGAAAGAAGCGGTTGACACTGCCTTGGAGGGCAGCAGAGGACTTCCTAACGGCCCGACTGTCACAAGGTGACTCCTCCCTAATGACCCCTGATGGGGGCGCCTGTGTTGTTGGGGATCCACTGCTCGCAGGTCAGCTGGGCTTCATGTTTCCAAAGTGCCTTTGCACACCAAGGCTGCGAGGGCAGTGCAGGTGAAAGCATCCAGTAAGTGAAGCCCCAATCACGCAGCTGGTGAGTGATACTCCAAGAGAAAGGCCAGAACTTTCTGGATGCCGACAGTGTGATGGCTGGTGGGAGTCAAGCCCGTCCCAGCCGCAACCACCCAGCAGTCCCAGCCCCAGGGCTAGCATTCCTCATTTCTCAAGAAAAGTGGCTAACGGAAGGTTTTATTTAAGAAAACTCCCTCATTGTAAACTGACTTGAGTATTTTTCAAATACTGTGTGAGCCAGACAAAGCGTGTCAGTGGACCCTGGCCAGAGGCCAGCAGCCTGCAACCTCTTTCTACCTGCGCACGCTGCCAAGCCTCTCCTCCAGTTTTCAAAGCTTCACTCCGAGTTAACGAGCTGGGGACAAGCTGAAAAGAGTGTGCATGTCACTCGGGA